ATGAACCGCAAAATTCCACCTGACATCCAATATACCAATTTAAAAAAAATGTTTACTATAAAATAACGCTCGCGGAATGCTATCGAAGATTAAAATAAAATTGGCCGAAAGATTCCATTTCGTTTGAGCAAATTAAAAACAGACGTGAATTTTCAAATAACATACCTTACTCGTCAATGTCTGGGCGGGCGAAACGCTATCACTGCTAAAGGGCTTCACCAACGGGTTGCTGTCTGAGAAACTGTCGCAGTTGCTATGACCAATCTGAAAGAACGAAGCCATTATAAATGATATCAGAAGTTTTTACTGCACAAAGTAGTAGAATCGAAAATTTCATGATTTTGATAATCAGTAAATAGTGGCGCACACCAGGATGACCGGTGCGATCACGCGTTTTGCGCAGTTTTTCTATTGGGCGTTTGTCTACTAAAGATTTTCACTGTTTTACACTTTGGTTGGTGTAAAATCAGCCGATGTGCTGCTTGCTCCTTAAGCTGCGAAATTTAACATTAAAAATTTCATGTAGCAGCACGTGAATATAAACGTACTTAAAGGCTGGATTTGAAACCCTGGACAGCTAAGACTGTTCCAAAATTTTATCGTCCCAGTCCTCTGTTTCCAAGTAACTTACACTTGATCGTGTGTAGGACCTCGCCATAACTGGAGCTAAATCTGAGTTTGTTAGGCCCCTGCGTAAGCAGAAAACGTCCTCCTGATGTTTTAGCTTTTTAGCTCTTCTCACTCCCGATACAATAATTCTCGCCAAAAATTTCACGAGGCCATACGTGAGGCCCGTGCTTACGCTGAAGCTGGACGAGAATTTGCGGGTTGTACGTGGGCAGGGGACACTATCCTCAAATTTCAACTTTCCAGCATTCGCGGCCCCCGGATGATAATTTCTTCCCTCCTCCTGAAAATTTTCACACAACCAAAAGTGCTACCCAAGCGAACGAGAAGGTTGATTTTAAATTTACTGAGTCGCATTTGAGCAGGACACATTACTCAAAAATTTCAGCTTTCCAAATCACCTGATTCCCAGACAGTAATTTTTCTCACCAAAAATTTCACGGGGTCGTACGTGATACTGAGCGAGCGGGGAGGCTGAATCTGTATTCGGGTGGTCGCAAGTGGGTGATGAACATCCTACTAAAATTTCAGTTTCCCAACTTTCGTGGTTCCCAAGATAACAATTTTCCTACCAAAACTTTCGTGGGGGCATACTTGAGGGTATGTGGGGACTGAATTTACGTTTGCGGAGTGATACATTGGCGAGGAATCCATTAAATTTTCAGTATTCCTAGCTTTCATAGCTCCCGAGTTGAAAGTGTCAGATAAAATGCACTCGGTCATACATGCACACACA